CTTTTTGTTTTTGTAACAAACTACAAAGAAACATTATACGTATGTATTAAATGATTTAGAAATACTCTATCTAATATATAAAATTCTCGTGTCAGGTTTCGTGTTTATACTCCTCCAAAACGGCTTGGCCGATTGTGATTAAATTTTATATGTATATTCAGTAGGTCTGTGAATAAGTTGTTAAGTGTTAAGAGTAGCTCACCACAATTTTTTTTTTATTTTTATTTTTTATAATGGCATTAAAAAATATAAACAACCCTAAATTTTCACCCTTCTATCATCAACCCCAATTTTTTAATAGCGAATTTAATTTATATGTAAAAAAACAACGTTTGCCCGGACAACTAGTAATATTATGTAATTCATTAGTTTAGTGCAAAATATTGAAAATTAGGAAGTTAACATACCACATATACCATAGGTGACACCTCGCTAATTATATTAGTGAATAAATAAAATATTCAACTAACATATTATACAATAACTTGCAAAAGGTACTAAGATTTGATTGAAGTTCTTCATTGAAGATGTTCGTTATTGTAATTGAAACGTTGGACAAACGAGCTTGCGGTCCACCTGACATTACCGCAGTCCATGAGCACCCGTAACACCAGGGGGATCAGGGCCGTCTTTCATCTATTAGAGGCCCATAGCAATAAAGCACTCAACACTCAACACTCCTTTAAACACTTCACACTCTTATGCAATAATTCTATTTTCTCTTTTGTTTTTCATATTTATTTTATTATATGAATTGATAATAATTTCCTATACATTTTATGCCTATATGTTATACCTATTTCTTGTTTTATTATAGTTTTTTTTTTTTAATATATTAATATTTATGATAATGTAATAGGGCTGATTACAAGCTGTGGTCTTGTTACATGCGTCCTCGCGTATGTCTCTGGGCAGTGCCTGAATATCAGTGGTTTGCTGCTTGTATGCTGCAAACAATACACTGAGGTGCTGCCTTTTTACGTATGGGCTATGCACACACACTACGTTACTCATACCGTTTTTTGTTATCTGTATTGCATTTTATTTTATCTGTATAATTGTTGTGTATTGTATTTTGTTTGACTTCACTAATGTAATGTGTATATCTGTTTTATTTTTGTTCTTATTATTACAGTGCCTTTTGTGTGTGTGTGTGCCTTTAACGTAAATAAAATTTTTATCTATCTATCTATCTATTTGGTTAGAATCTATTTGGTTAGAAAAACAAAGTAATTTTTGGACATGACTCTTTAGAAATGTATAGTGTATTGGTATCCAGAATGTCCTACCTTCAAAACAAACCAGGAAATAGTAATTTTAAGAAGTCGTTATGTGATGAGGAGTTCAAGTTATTGCCAGATATTTATAAAGAAATTAACAAAAACGAACAAATTGACCATAGTCGGTAAGCAGTTGTTAAGACTGATTTTCAGGCGAGAGTACAGTATTTATCGGTTATCGTTCGGTAATGGAGTATGGATTAGACTAGACTAGGGTGCTCAAATCCATCACGGGGCACGTGCCCAGTGTGCCCAGAGGAAGAGGGGCCTGGGGGGAATTGCAAGTGAATACATAATACATTTTCCAAATATAAAATTAGATGTTAGACTTAAAAATTTGTAAATGTATCAACACATCAGTAGCTCTTGTTAAATCATAACTCCACTTTGCTGAATACAAAACAATCTCGGCTTCTTAATTGAATAACTTGTAATTTGTTAATCTCTAATTGTTCCAACAGATTTATATTTAGGCGTACAAAGTTATATTACATCGTTTAATTAACGAATTTTATCAGAACCAAGTAGAACAATAGAGCACTTCATCTATACTTTTGTATCGTATTACAAAACAGGAGTATCTCCCTCAGATTTACCATGAATGACGTTGACTGGCCGAGTACAAGCCGTTTCGAATAAAAGACGTGTGACCTTAGTTCCCATGAGTAATGTCGATGGGGTGTTATTGATGTTGCTACAACCTCAGTTCGTAATCACATCCCGAGTTTACGAACTATTACTAATTTGTAACATTCCAGTGCTTTTAACTTTGTACATTTATTACATGTAATTGGAAGTTATTATTTTAATTTTATCTTCTTTTATAATAATAAACCATTTATTCAGATATTAGTTTTTTTTAATATTTACATTATCTGTTATCTGTTTGCTAGCACGCATAGGCCTCCTCCAACTATCTCCAGTGGTCTGTCTTTATTGTTAGCAGTTCTCTTCCAAGATGGTAGATGATATTCAAAGTGATGGTAGGTACTCGGACAAGAACTGCTATCTTCTTTTACTAACTAGTTATTAACATTCAACAATTTTACCTGATCAGTTAACTCACAAATCCGCTTCTAAAATCTTTGGATTTCTGACGGAATGTGCAGAAATTTTGGACGTATGAATTGCTCAATTACTTTTGATATTGACTGTAGATACAGTTATACTAGGGAAGTTATAAAATATATTTACAAAGGCATTAAGCGTTCCCCTGAAGCGTAAGGTGCTATCTACTGTAAATAATATACAAAATATTAATAATTCAGAGTTTATTAGATATTCAAATTAGTTTCTTCGGATGAACTAATAAAGAATGTGGAAGGAAAGGAAATCGATACGCTAATCTTCAGTGTGGTTTTGTCTCGATGTTTTTTCATTATCTTCGTTTTTATCATAATATATTATTATTATTTTATTACATACTAGTGTTACATTACATATAAATTCATTATGTTTCGCCCAATTCGCACAATATCTTTTTAAAGAACAGCCTATGTCCTATTCTGATGTATAAGCTATATTACTGTAAAGTTTCATCAAAACCTTTTCAATAGTTTTTGTATGGGAGTCACAAACATCCTTCCATCCATACTCACAAATTTCTGCGTTTATAATATTAGTAAGATCTAGATCTTACTAATATTATAAACTCTTACCAGAATCTTCGTCCGTGTGGAATTATGATTAAATTTTCTAAAATAAAAGTAGCCAAAACTCCTTATGACATTAGCTATGCGAGTGGAAGTCTCGTCAAAATAGGTCCAGCTATTTCAGAGATTAGCAGGAACAAACAGACAGATAATTTTTTTATTTCATTATTTTGTTAGATTTTCAATTTAAGGGAAACATAAAGTTCAATAGTGGTAGAGACAATTTGTACATAGCGCCAGATTATTAGTAACCTAGTTCAGACGCTCGAAGCGTTCCAAGTTTGCTCCCAAATCGGTTGATACAAACAACTTTCGTACTACACTATAGTGATTTGAAATTTTTCTCGTTTCACCTTCTGTTTACTAAAGAAAATTCATTAAACTTTTCTAATAAGAAATATAATTTTATACCAAGTATATTATTATAGGCTTAATCCGTTTAGAATTTTTCTTCAGTCTCAAAATATCTGTTCTATATTGAGTATATAAATGATTCAATTGGTAACAGAAATATAAATAATCTTTATTCAAATAAACTTAAGTAATATAAATACATTTGAAGTCATACTTTTTTATTCTACCACTCATTCGGAACGAAGACTCTTCACAAGAAGAACGAGCAAGAAACTTGCGAGTTGTTCTTATAAAGAAATGTTCTTCAGCTTTACATAGTTAAGAATTTGTGAATAACAGTCAAATAGCAAAATAGTCATAAGTAAATAATACATGAGTAAGGATTTTGAAACTTCCGATAATGCAAGAAAGTTGCAATTAGTTCATTCCTATCAAGTTTATTGGGGTATAAAAAAAATAAACAGTATAGTCGACGCTAAGATGCTTCCCCGCTAAGTGGGCTGTGTGTATGTAGAATAAGAGTGGTTGTAGTACAGTAAGATATCGAGTTTGCACAGCAATATCAATATTTGCTCGATACGTTCATTTCCCAGAAAGATCGGGGGTCACGAGAACTGTAATTTGGTTTGTTATTCTTCACACAAATTATTCTTTTGGTGAAACGTAAAATATTACAGTATTTGGAGTGAATACGAATACAGAAGTGTATAGCTAGATAAAAAATATGTAAAATGGTTGTCCAAATATTTTAATGTATATTTAAGTACTACGGTTTCATTTATTTTTCAGTGAATTCTTCAAATTGACTTCTTCAGATCGAATTCTTCAAGCTTTAACTGTAGAATGGGTATAGTGATTAGAAACTAATGTGGTATTACTAATGATGATACAGAAAAATGGAAAAATAACGATTTTGTATTTAGAATATTAATATATATAATACAGATTAAAAATAATGATGCTCTACATTACTAAACTGTGTGAAAAATTTTGCGCGCCAAAACTAAAACTTCATAGATAACTATAAAAATGTCTATGGTAATTGAAAGCGTCAAATACTAATTTTAAAAAAATACTAATTAAGCTATAGTAAAAGGAATATAGCATAAAACAAGTACTACTTACCTAGATGGATTTGTGAAAGTAGGCAATCTAACGAATTAATTATAAATAATAATAGATAAATTGGTTATGTAGGTCTATACATTACTTTAGCAAGTGAAGGTTATAATTCATTCTCAAGTAATTTCAATGAGAAACGTACAAGATGTCTCAACTAGTCGTTAATACGCTCGTAGGCAATACGAAGTACTAATTGAACAGCAATTACAGCTTGTAAACTGTAATAGGAAAAACATCAATTGTATTAGATAACAACAGTAAATGAACAACAAGCGAGCACATAGTAAACGTAAGTACCTACAACGGAACAGTTTGGGGGAGGGCAAAACTTGTTTTGGTGTACGACGCACCAGCAAATACGCGTTCCACTGGGGCCATCGATTACCTGCAGCGGCGGGCAGTCCCACCGGCATCTCTGCTCCTCCTGCTCTACATCCTAGACTTACTTGACCACAGATAGCTAGGTAGGCTTTCGTAGGTTAGGCCGGTGTTTGACCCACGACGCAAACAAGGCGGACGCATGCGCCGGCCGCCGTAAACACTCTCCGGGCGAGCACGTGTACACACAAACATAGCACAAAACGAAACCAACCGTCGGCTGCCGCCGCGATCACTGCCACCACCAACAGTCGCAGTAATAAGAACGCCATAAAAACACATGCATTTGCACCACACTCGAAATTCGCGTCTGGCGGGCTGCGTACAGACGATCAGCGCAGCCCGCTGCCTCCGGCGCACTGACGGCGCGGCCGCGGCGGGGCCCCGCGGCCCCCTCCCCCTCCCGCGACCCCCCGCGCCCCGCCGGTGCCCCCGCGACCCCCCGCCGGTCCTCCATCCTTGTTCATTCAACGCATCTTCTGTCATAAGCAAATCGATAATCGCATTATACTTCCGCTTTGAAACACGCGCTGCATCCACAACTATGTCACCGGGATGCAGCGCAGTGTGCAAGCGCCCTAACTCTATAACTGCGCTACATAGAGTTTTTTTTTTAATTCATAATAATAATGGAATGGAGTACCCGCCTGCGCTAATTGTTTACGTTAGTGTCCCACCAGTGGAGGATGATAATGTATGAGGTCAGGTCAGTTAGCCCCTCATAGTAAATTCGCCATCAATTTACATAATGGATTCCAGGGGAACCGCGAGGAGATCAACCTGGAGATATATTCCCCTTTCCCCCGCTGCACAGAGTAGAGGCGACCTACCTCACTGCAGTTGATCTGTGTTTACACGTATTGAGTATAAATACACTTCAACAGTTATTTATCTACGTGACAAACTAAAATTAAATTTATAATATTATTTAATGTACTAATTAAGTATAAATTATTAATACTGTTTATAAATTGCAACTGTAGAATTATAGCCCACTATTATGATAGAGAATTACGTATGAGGAAGTGCGTACCTCTATCCTTTTAGGAACATTAAAAACAATGCATAGTTATAGATTTTTTTTTTCAATTATAAAATTTATCTAAATATATATAACTCAAAGGTGACTGACATAGAGATCTATCAACATACAGCCCAAACCACTGGACGGATCGGGCTGAAATTTGGCATGCAGGTAGATGTTATGACGTAGGCATCCGCTAAGAAAATATTACATATATATATATATATAAATGTCTATAAATATATATATTAATATATATCACGACCTCGGTGGTCTAGCGGTTAAACACGCTTACTTGCTTGCTATGGTCGCGGGTTCGAACATTTGTATTCACGAGTATGATTGTTTGTATAGGTCTGGGTGTTTTCTACCTGTAATATGTATGTATTTACGAAAAAAATATCTAGGTATATATGTATCAATTATCTAGTACCTATAACAGAAGCTTTAGCTATCTTAACTTGGGTCTAGATTTCGCTGTGTGAATTGTCGTGAGACTATTATTATTATATATAATAAAAAAACAAGAATAGCTATTATTTATACAAACAAAATGAATATTTTAAAATATTTTCTTTACCTACACCATGAGTAGTAAATGAAGCTAACGCCCGGCCTAAAGCTATACCATTACCGCAGCCTATAAATGCCTGCAAGAATCAGAAATGATAAAACCTAGCAATACAGAAATCTTGAATACTGTATACCCAGTAATTTCGCTGCAATAACTCACCTCTCAACCAGAATCACAGGATAGAATAAAATCAAAATGGTTGCCGGCAAAAATATGTAGATGAGACTAAGATAAACGTGCTTTGTTAAGTAGATGATTATGTATGAAATTGCCCCCTGGTTAGCCGTTGACTACGAAATTGATGTAACACTAAAAGTAAATATTATAATGTAAGTATATTAGTCGACGACCTCGGTGGTCTAGCGGTCTAGCACACCGCTTTACGACCGATGGTCGCGGGTTCGATTCCTCGCACGGCACAAACATTTGTATTCATGAGTATGATTGTTTGTATCGGTCTGGGTATTTACTATGTATAATATGTATGTATTTACAAAAAAAATATCTATGGATATATGTATCAGTTATCTAGTACCCATAACACAAGTTTTAGCTAGCTTAACTTGGGTCTAGATGGCGCTATGAGAATTGTCCTGAGACTATTATTATTATTTAATATAGTAATAATATATATGTATATATCGGCGCTGGCCTGATCCGGGAATTGTCCCGTCGCAAAATCTTTGAAAATAAGAAATTTAACACAAGGGTGATGATGATGATGAAGAATGGATTTTATAATTATAATATTTGATATTGCGTGTTTGGTGAAATGAAATTAAAATTGTAAAATTATTATTTATAAAAACCATTATGATAACGCGAGCGAAGCCGCGGGAAAAACTAGTAATATTATAAACGTGAAAGTTTGTGAGTATGGATGGATGTTTGTTACTCTTTTTTGCAAAAACTATTGAACGGATTTTGATGAAACTTTAAAATAATATAGTGTGATGTACATCAAAAGATCTCAGGTTCGAATCCTGGCAGGGTCGCCATATAAGAGTGGTGCTTGTTAGGCAAATGATAGGTACGGCATTTCAGTGTATACTGTCTCGTTGTTTATTATAATCAATCTTTATACACTACTTACTTACTAAGTACATTCTGATGGCTTACACATCATAATATATAGGCTACAAATTTCACGCGAGTGAAACACGTGCACAGCTAGTATTACATAATACAATCATTAAATAAGAATTTAAATTCCAATTAGAAAATCATTTATTTATGCAGGACATTTTAGCCACTCAGGAACGCCAAGTTTTTTGTTTAATATTTTGTTTCCTACCTTCCGCCGTACTTTTCTGACAAGAAACTTAACTGATATTGTTTTTTTTTAAATGTCAGTTCAATTAAAAGTTATTACAATGTATATTTATATAGGTGTCTATGTCTAACATTAAATGAGAATCCCGTGCATGAACTATTAACGCTCGTCATGCAAGTAATCGTTTAGTGACTAGGCTTTGACAAAATGTGTTTCTAACAAATGATTATACTCTAGTATAATTAACAGCGCCATCTAGTCCCAAGCTAAGCAGAGCTTGTATTATGAGTACTGGACAAGTGATATAAGTTTTTAAATATATATTTTGATGAATACATACATAATATACCTATTACCTACATAGAGAACACCCAGACAATCAAAAACAATCATACTCATAGATATTAATGTTAGAATCTTGCAAGGAATAGAACCCGCGATGTTTGGAAGTAAGGCGGTACGGTAAACCGCTACACCACCGAGGCTGTCAAATATATAATAGACTAGCTGTACCCGCGACTTCGTCAGCGTGGAAATTACTTTATATTTCTAAAATAAAAGTAGCCTAAGTTACTCATTATTACATCAACTATATGCCAATAAAAGTCCTGTCAAAATCGGTCCAGCCATTACAGAGATCAACCGGAACAAACAGGCAAACAGACCGACAGCCAAAAATTGTAAAAAATGTTATTTTGGTGTATGTACCGTATATATATTTATATGCATGTAGTAAAAAACGGTTATTTCAATATTACAAACACACACTCCAATTTAAATTTATATGTATAGATATGTATGTACGTCTGTAGGTCACGGTGTCTGAACGGTTTTGAATTAAATCAATAACATGTAATATTATTTACATTGGCGAAATAATCTAATGCAATTTACTCCACGCTTCGTCCCATCGAAAAATCGGGTGAACCTAAATCAGTTTAGATATACGAGAAACACGTTTCAATAAAACATATATTTGTTTTGTAACATACACATATATATATGTACATATATATTTATATATATATGATACTAGCAGCAGCCGTACCAGCAGTACCCGCGACTACGTCCTCGTTAAATAGGGACCTTGACCAAATAATGAAAAAAATATTAACTTAATCAACAGCCTAAAAAATCAGTTTCAGGCTTTTAGCTTTAAAAATGACACCGTACAACTTGAAAGCGAGACAGACAGACAGACAGTTACATATATATATGTACTTAATCGAATTAGATGTTATTTTGCGGAAGTCCATATCACTACTCGATGGATTTATATTATTTTAATAAGCCATTTATTCTGAAATTTACAAATATTTTTTTTTTAACTATAATATACAAATTCTTTTTTTTTTTATAATATGTCTCTAATTTCAGTGTGCCATTTGGCATAGGCCTCCTCCAGCGACTTCCATTGACTCTTATCCTGTGCAACTCTTCTCCATTTTGTGCCCACAGGTGACTACAACTCATCTTCCCATTTCATCATCTGCCTTCCCCTCTTTCTCTTTCCTTCTCTAGGATACCACTCTGTTATTTTTCTACTCCATTTTTCCCTAGTATCTCGCATCATGTGGCCAGTCCATCGCCACTTCTGCTGGTCTATTTTTGACAATATATCTGTTACTTTCGTCCTCAACCTAAGATCACTGTTCCTTACCCGGTCCAGTCTTCGTACTCCGATCATACTTCTCTCCTCTCCATATTACTTTGGTGTGGATTTATATTACTTTGTTTAATTCTGCTACAATTAACTTGTGTGAGACCACAAATATTGGGTGTGGAAACCTGACCAGCGCTACGACCTTCTTCAGTGGCGATCAAATTCCAACCGTTATTGATTTGCAGTTTGGTCGCCGATGAATCAACACTAGGCTTCCGAGCTGTACCCGAACTCCAATTAACGCCTGATGGTGCCTCGTTCAGAGGCGAAACACGTGTCGCGATATGGGTGTAGACTCAATAACGGTCGGAATTTGATCGCCACTGGAGAAGGTCGTAGCGCTGGTCAGGTTTCCACACCCAATATTCGTAGTCTCACACATGTTAATTGTAGCGGAATTAAACAAAATAAAATAAATCCATCGAGTAGTATATATATATATATATATGTCATTTGTTTCTTATTACGAGAGAATAGGGATCTTCTTCTTAGAGGGAATCTGATTAATTGTGTTTCCAGTTGACAATAATAGTTACCAGTTAGTACAATAATATATACCTATGTTATATTTCATTCATAATTTAAGAGCTACGCTCTTTTCGGTGGAGCTTTTCGCGATCTTCCATCACATTCTTTAATTCTTGATACGACACGACTCCCACTTTGTCCTCAATTCGTTTGATGTTGCTATGCCTTGGTCTTCCCTCCCCCTCTTTCCTTCTACTTTCCCCTCAATAATAATTTTCATGAAATCATCGTGTATCAAGTGTCCTAACATTTTTCCTC